AATAGGGAAGGGTGGAGAGGGTGAAGGGAGGGCTAGGAATGGGGAAAAAATAAGAACCAAGATGCATTATGTAAAGGTACATTTCCCAATGAGAAATGTAATTGTGTTGTATACCTACAATGTACCAATGAAAGAATTTAATAAAAAAAAAAGGATTTTTGTAATATGCCCTCTATATCCTTTTAAATTCTGTAAACCTGCGGTAATGTCCTCTAAATTTTGATATTGTAATTTTAAAAATGTATAATTGATATTGGGTAATAGGAAGAAAAGGTCTAAAGGAGTAGGGGAAGTGGGAGGGGCAGGGGAAAGGAAAGAAGGGAAAAGAAAAAATATGAGAAAAGAAAAAATAAATGGAAACAAAATCTCTCCAAATAAAGAAGGGTGGAGGGGGTGAAGGGAGGGCAGGGGAAGGGTTGAAAAATAAGAACTAAGATACATCTTGTAAAGGTACAAGATTCCAATGATGAATGTAACTGTATTTTATATCTAAAATGTGTCAATAAACTTAATGGAGAAAAAATCCAACCTTGTAGTCAGTAGCTGAAAACAACTATGGGATCTCAGTCAACCACATAAATTTTCTTTGACTGCTTCATTATGCTTTAATATAAAAGTTATCCTAATATTTTCTTCTGTTGATGCACCTCTTTACTATTTTTCTATAATAAAAATATAAACAGTATTTTGTTCATCTTGAACACAGGTTTGATACCTATTTACTGCCAAGAAAACAAAATTTTCTTAGCTGGAAATGAAATGTGCTAATATTTTTAAAGGAGAGAAGTGTATTATAGGAAGAGCAGATGTCTTAGTTGCTTTTCTCTCATTGCTGAGACAAAATACTTGACGTTCAAAGTTAAAGGGGGAAAGGTTTATTCAGCTCACAGTCTGTAGAGGCTTCAGTCCATAAGTGGCTGGCTCTGAGGCAGGGTGGCAGATGGCACAGGAACAGACAGCTCATGGTGGCAGAAGACAGCAAAAGCAAGCAAGCAAGGGATAACCACAGCTCTTTCTATCCCTTATATCTTATCCAGACTACTTATGGTGGGTAGCACTCACACCCTTAATCCTAGCATCACACCATGAATCAATTACACACCCTAGATCTAGCCCCCTCAGAAAAAGCCCCACCTATGAAGACATGAGGCTTTGGGGGGACCTCTAGACCCAAACCATAATAGCAGAGAAACAAGAATGTAAGACTTCTCTAAAATAGTTTAAAAATTACAGATGTTAAGGAAATGTTATTTGAACTGGGTTTTAGAGACCTGATTCTTAGTCATGTCTGCCACTGCTGATTTCCAGTCAGTACACAGTCAATGGTTTCCCTCTACCTCACAGGTGACCAACTGTCCCTGCTTGCCCCAGACCTTCCTAGCTTCTCAATGTATAGCTTTAGAAACAGGGGCAGATGGTTATTTCACTCCTGTGTGTATCAGGGATATTGCCCAATGTGAGGCAAGAAGGTGATAAGGGAATTCAGAACATTTCATATAGTTTATCTGAAAGAAATTCAAATAATTTTTATTATACTGCTCTCTTTATTTTATGCTCATCCCTGTTTATGAAATGAAAAACGATTCAGATACAACAAACACTGCTTAAAATGGAATGCTTTTACTTAAATGCTAATGGAAAAACTATATAAATGTTGCCTCCTAATTAGGAACCCTTTGAAAAATAAAGTTATAATACTAGAAGTGCTAGTCCCACAGATATATTATAGAGCATAAACAATTAAACCTTCCTATATAGAAAATGATCTTGTTTGTAGTTCTTACCTATGGCAGAGACTTTAAGCAACTCAATTTTATCATTAAGGCCTGCAGCTTTCAGATTGTCCCAGGCACCAAGCAACTGTGAGTCACTGACATCAGCACCCACGTAATACCCATCCTATGGAGGAAGAAATTTGCATTTTAAGTAGAAATAAAGCTATTAGATATCTCAGTAATTAGGAAACACTATTTGTATTTTTTCAAATGGTAAAAATTAACAGATTTTTTAGCAAAATTAAAAGCTTCTGTTAAAATTTTAAAATCTGTTAATATTTTACAATTAAAAATGCCTAAAGAATTTGGGGATTAGTATAGCCTAGGCTATGACTAATTACTGGAATCATCACATTCTCCTAAAATTTTCATACAGAAAAGAAACAGCAGTTTAATAAATCTCTTTAATCTATTTCAGCTATGGTGAACAATAACTCATAACATTAAAAATAACAAATGGTAAATGGATATATATATATATATATATATATATATATACACACACACACACATACTGATTAAAGTAAATATATTGGTTAGTTTATACCAAATTTTACCACTTACTGGCCATTCTTTAGCAGCTTCCAAAAGTATTGTTCCAAGTCCACACATTGGATCTAAAACAAATGTACCAACCTATAGAGAGAAACATGAATTTTTATTGTTAGGTTTCCCGTAAAAGAAACTTAAACTCGGAGGACTCAATATTTCAAGAGTAAAAATTCCTTTTTCCACTTCAATAGCAATTTTAAGTAAAGTCCAATGGCATGAATATGTATGCCATGTGTACAGAATGGGAAGAAAATCAGTGTGGCCAAAACAGGCAGAGGGAAAGGTGGAGGTGACACTGGCAAGGGGCCAAGGCATGACATCCAGACAGGCTGACATACACGGCCAGTACAATAAGCATGAGTCTCAGAGGTTGAAAACAACACGTGGCTCATCCTGTGCACCCACAGGAGGGCACTTGGGTTCTCTGCTCCTCATCTGGAACCCACACTGATGAACCAGGCGCCATTCAGAGTGGCCGAAGGAGAGAAAACATGACAGATCATGCACTGCTCTGAATACTCTGAATGGTGCCACCTGGAAGTGTCTCATCCCTTCCACCAGCATTAAACTACCCAGAGCATGTTAGTCACTGGGTTCATGCAATTTCAAGGATCCAGGAAAGTATGCATAATCCTACCTGTATTGGGAAGGAGAACAGAATTGGGAGAAAAAACAATGACTCCCACTCTGGGGAATCACATCATGTCACATTGTGTACGGTTCTATTCTGATGGATGGGCAACTACCAGATGGGCTGAATAAAGGAGTCACATGACATTACAATTTCAGGGGATCATGATGGTACAGACCAAAGAGAACTCAGAGAGTTCACAGGGAGGCTACTGAGGGAGTCCAAGCAAGAGATGATGATGGCTTGAATGAAGAGAGGTACTGATAGAAGTGGTTGGATTCTGGATATATTTTTAAAAGGTGGATACAAGAGGAAGAATTGGATGTGAGATATTAAAGACAGACAATTGTCCAGAATGACTCAGGTTTTCTACCTAAGCAATGGGAAGAATTGCCTGTTACTGAGATGGCAAAAGAGGTGGGAGGAAAAATTTTGGAAAGAGTATGAATACATTTCTGGACATGTTAGTTTTGAGATACTTCTCAGAATTCCAAGTACATATCAAATGATTCACTGGATATATGAATCTACAGTTCAAGGGTCCAAGGTAAAGATATAAATTTTGGAGAAACTGGTGTGATTTAATTTATAATTGGTATTTGAAGTGTCAGAACTAGATGAGATCACTTAGGAAGCAAGGGATGTTAAAAAGAAGGATGCCTATGGACTGGGCTCTGGTGATTTCCTAAATACAGATTTTTGGATGATGAAGATCTATACCAAGATGAAGATTCATACCAAGAAGCAGCACATATGATGCAGAAGGAAAATCTAGAGTGGTGATTCTGAAAAAAGGTGGAGGAAAACTGTTTCAGGGAGAGTGGTGATGGTGTCAACGTGCTACTACGAAAGATGAGCAGATTCAGTGGAGTGTTGATGAAGCCGGATGGAAGTGGGTACAGTAGAGATTGGGAAGAAGGTAAGTAAAGATAGCAAATATGGACAATTATTTTTAAAGGTTTTTATTATTAAAAGGAAGCAGAGAAAGGAGATGGCAGCTGAAGGAACAGGTATGTTCAGGAGAGGGTTTGTGTTTCTTCAATATACAAGATATTGTAGCAGATGTACATGCTGATGCCATTGACCCAGCAGAGAAAACATCCTTAAGTATGTGACAGGAAATGGAATCTGGTACCCAAGTACGGGAGTGGAATAGACAGTTTACTGCTGTAATGACAGTAAGGCAGAATATGAGGGCACAGATTCTGACACATTGGTGGATTTGGAGAGGAGGACATGGCAAAGTTTTCTTCTGATTCTAACATTTAAGTCAAATAAGGAGGAAGAGAGTTAAACGTGTGAATATTCATATGACTATAATAACAGAGCATAAAACCCAAACTGTGCAGGAGGGTTGAGAACAGATGGTGAGAAGAAATAGCAGGTCAAGTGACTAGAGGGTCCTGGGGAATTGTGCTAGGGAACTAGAAGAAGCAAAGGCAAAGATAAAGTAGCTCAGAATTCTTTTGTCTTGAGATTGCATCTCACTATGTTGTCCATGTGGCCTCAAACTCCTGGTCTCAAGTTATTTTCCTGCCTCAGCCTCCTATGTAGCTGAGACTAAAAGTATATGTCATCATGTCTGGCTAAGAACAGGAGTCTTGAAACTGAGGAATCTGGAAGAGATACCTTTCTGGGCATGACAAGGTCTGGGATGTGCCTAGTTCAAATCATTAGAGATAGGGAAGCCAAAAAAGTAAAAGGTAAGTTATTGACTGGCTATGAAGACCATAGTGAATTATGGGGTTGGGAATGTAGCTCAGTGGTACAGCACTTGTCTCACATGCATGAGGCCCTGGGTTTGATCCCATCACCACGCATGAAAAAAAATGATGACAAGAATAAGGGCCTACACTCGAATTGTAGCTGACTGGCATAATCTGATGGCATGTGTTTCAAGGGCACTGAGGTTCTGGGCAGAAGGGACAAATCAATCATTCAGATGGGCAAGGAAGAGCAAGCAGGACACCTACCCCACCTTCAGGCCCAGTGGTACTGGATGTGGAAGAAAAAACATCCATCCTTCGCTATGGCTACTGAGGAAGCAGGGTCCTCAGTGGACAGCCAGGTGTCAGTCAGAGTCAGGGCACCTAATGGAAAGAAGAAACATGTTCTGCAGGACATAGAAACCCCTCAGCTACATTCTAAGGATAATATAATGTAGATCCTCCATGATGGGGCACCGAGCAACAAAATAGGAGTTAAATGGCAATTTTGTTTAAAATTTGTAACAGTATGAAAACTAAGTTTTGTTAAGATCTTAAAAATGGTGCCAAATTGCATTCTTCCTCCTCTAAGTTCAGTGAGGTAATCTGACCTTAAATGTATTTAAATCTCTTTCTCTGACCTTAGGATCTTGTCTAGTCATGACATTCACAGACCCAGAATACTTCCCAGAAGTAGAGAAGTATTTCTGCATGCTCATAATAGCAACTAGGGTATATAGGACTTGAGTTTCCTTACTTACAGTACTTGGGAAGGAGAAATTCTTACAGAAAATATTAAAAACGCCTGACAGCTTCATTTTAAAATTTACTTGTCGGGGGCTGGGGATTTAGCTCAGTGGCATCGCACCTGCCTTGCAAGTGCAAGATCCTGAGTTCGGATGGGCCAGGGATTTAGCTCAGTGGTTCCACCGCCTGCCTCACAAGCTAAGGACCCGAGTTCGATCCCCAGTACCAAAAAACCCCCCAAAAAACTATAAGATCCTGAGTTCGGTCCCCGGTACCAAAAAAAAAAAATTAGTTGTCAGTAGCACTGGCCTGCCCAAGGCTGAGCTGTCTGTGCACCACTCTGGGTAATGAACTTCAAAGAGGGCACTGGGCCTACACAGCTGGAGCCAAGATCTTCCATCATGGGACATCAGGTCCTTCCCTGCTACTTCTTTCATGCTTTACTGGGCCTCCTTTGCTGGTGACCACACTTGGAGAGATATTTCTGACTCTTGGAATAAGGAGGGGAAATTTACAGTAAGGAAAACTTTTATCAAGTATTATCTTTCAATATTTTTGACCATTCATTTTTTATTTTTCTGAAAAGTATACATTTATTACTTCAAGACAAAGGCAACATTTCAAATTTTAGGTGATTTATAAATTTATGTTTAAATAAAAACTACTGAAGCCACTGGCAGTTTGGATAAGAATAAACTGTAATCATACTTCTCATTTACTAAAAGTAATTTGGAATAAAGATTTAAGTCAAAGAAAAGCATGAGTTCTGGGTACACAGCAAGTAACTCTTCCCCTTATGTCCAACTCCAAGCTACTGACTTCTGCTGAGCCAAGTGGGGCTCAGAAGGACCTCGGCTGGGCCTTCCGCCCTGGGTTGGATGAGTGATTAGAGAACAGCCCTGGAGCCCAGCAGGGAGGGCCAGCAGGACCTGAGAGATCTTTGATCTTCAGAGATCTACAGGCCTGAAGGGAAACAGCAACAGCAGGGCTCATCTCAGTAGGGCTCACAGATTCTCTTGACACTGCCAAGCCTTGGGGGGCCAGAGGTCCTCTTCCCTTTTACTTTTCATAGGATTCCAGCCCTTCAGAAATACTTTTAACAACTACACTTCAGATCTAGCAAGCCAACAAAGAAAAATAATGGCACATCTAATGGGGTGGGGTCTCTTCCTATAGAAACAGCTAGTGATTATTGCAGGGGCAGAGAAAGACTTGAATGAATGAAGGAAGAGCTTTTAGAGATACTCAAATGTTAAACACACCTTTCTGAAGCTGAAAAACATGATTTTTAAACTGAAAACATCAGTAAATGAATTAGAGTAGAGCACATCTCTGTGATGCTTGTTGTAAGTTGAATGATGATGTTTGAGAATAACTCAAAGTGCAGAGCCAAAATATAGAGATGAAAGCATGTAAGAAAGAATAAGAGGGTTGGAGGATGGAGTCAGGAAGCTTAACATGCTTAGAACAGGAATTTCAGAAGTAAAAAGGAAAAAGAGGCATTTAAAGTTAAATTTGCTAAACAGCTTAGGCAATAATGACTAAACAAAGAATAGAAAAAAGAGTGCCCAGCTGGAGAAATAATGACGATTAGTATTATTATACTAATAACAATGACTAATTATGTACTCCATATAATAATTATAATAGGTTATTAATAATTATTTTTCCATAGCAACTAATACATATTTTCCATATGCCTGGTGCTGTTCTAATTGTTTTATTAATGCTAATTCACTTAGTCATGATATGAAACTGTGAGATACTATTTGTATCTTGCAAATGAGAAACTGAGGCACAGAGTTGTTATCTTGACCAACCCTTGCCACCCAGTAAATACGGGAGCTGCAATTAGGACTTAGGCAGTCAGACTCAGGAAGCTGTGGGCTGAATAGAAAGGACACATATATAAGGAGATTCTGGTAATATTCTTGAACGTTAAGATTAAAGAGCAAACTCCTCCAAGCTTCCAAGCAGAAAGAACAAAGTATCTATAAAGGAAAAGAAAAATCATATTGATACGTCCTGCTTATCTACAGTACCATCAGTTAAAGGACAGTATTTACAGGTAGAAGGGCAGCAACTCAAGAACCTTCTACCCAGCAAATGGGCCAGGATGAAAGGGAGAAATCCACAGATACAAAAGAATTTAGGCAGTATCTTATTAAATTATCAAATACCACATGTGAGGAAAACACCCCTTTTAACCAAGCAAGAAATAAAGCAGAGCAGAGGCCTCAAATGGGAAAAAAAGATGAAGCAAAGAACCCAGATGGTAAGGAGCAATATATCTTGCAATGTATTGTGCATGGTACAGGAATTCTATTTTGATGATTAAGAATGAGCTGTGTCATGTTAACTGCCAGCTAAGAATTTCAAGGGAAGCTCTGATACATAATAGATAATTTAGTTCAATTTAGTAGCTGGGAGTTGGGAGAAGAGGTGATTAGAATGTTTCAAAGGTCTCATTATAGGGAATAAAAAGAGTTGGCTAAAAGTCTCACTTCACAGGAAGAGGAGGAACAGGGGGAAACTGAGGAAAATGACTGTCTTGGTGGTAAAACAAACAAAAAGAAATGTGCATGTCTTGGCAGAGGAAATAGTTGACATCCTGTTTTACAGTAGCTAGAGTTGGATATGTTTTAGAAAACTGGAAAAAGAAATTTAATGGACTAGAACAATGAAGGAAGATCTCCAACATGAGGGAGAACAATGGAATGATTAGCAAGCAGGTAACTTGGTCATGCTAGCAAATATTCAAACATTTAAAAGGTAAATAATTACTTTTATGAACAGAGTAAAACAGATTCATTAAGTGGAGCTGTCATACCACTTCCTGAGTCCTATTACTGAAAAACAGAGACCATAAGATTGGGACAGGAAGGATCAAAGTTTAGCTATATTTTTGTAAGAAAATACTTATATTTGAAAATAGTAGCAAATAAATTTTAGGCAGATGCAAACAAAAAGAAAAGAGTAGGGCCAGGGATTTGGGTCAGTGGTTTTGCCACCTGCTGCGCAAGCGCAAGGACCCAAGTTTGATCCCAGGTACCAAAAAAAAAAAAAAAAAAAGGAGTAAAATATTAATAGTACATGGTGAAATTTAAGCTTAAAGTCAATAATTAAGATGAAGACTTTATTTAACAATAAAAAGACACAATTTGCAATGAAGCAATAATATGCATATATACCAAATCACATAGAAATTGAATAATGTAGTAACTAAAAAAAATGGAAAAACAATAAAAAATACAGTAACATAGATTTTGAAAGACTTTTCAGTGTGGAGTAAATAGGAACATGGTGAGTAAAAATAATAGAACATTTTAAATTAGAAAATAAACTTTTCTTATGTTCATTGAACCTTAGGAAAATTAAGATCTCAGTTATAGGGGAAAAACTTTGACGTATAGAGGTTTAACAGGCCACCTTTTCAGATTTTTTTGGTACTGGGGATCAAACTCAGGGCCTTGTGCTTGCGAGGCAGGCGGTGGAATCATTGAGCTAAATCCCCGGCTACAGTCCACTTTTTTATTATGATGCAAAATAAATTAGAAATAATAAAATGTAGCTAACTTTTAACAGCTTTTCCGTGGCCAGCATACTCTCAGAAGTTTACTAATACATAAGAACATCACTTTAGACATTTTTAAGTATCACCGCAACAGAAAAAAGAAAGCAACCAATAAAGATGTTCTTGAGTAAGAGACTGAATAAATTAATTATAAAAAGGACTTTGCTATTAACAAGAATAAAAACATTTTCCTTACCTTAATTTCTGCAAGAGATGCCATTGCCCATGCAATGGTAGACCGCAGCCCAGCTGTCTTAATGTAGGTTCTGCTGGCTAAAGGAGCCCTACAAAGAAAAGACACTGATTACGTACCAACTATTATTTCTCTAATACTTTCTCTTATGAGCACTTGTCTAACAGCCAGTGTGACGTTTTAGAAAGGTAAGTTTTTTTAGATAGTTGAAATTTAAACTCTCTTCCAGGAAGAGCATTGCAAGTTCAAGGCCACCTGGGCTACACAGTGAGTTCAAGGTGAGCCTGAAATACATAGTGAGACCTTGTCTCAGGAAGACCAAAAAACAAACAAACACCACAGAGGAGGAAAATCTTTATTTCTTCCCACACAGAAGAATAAAGCTTCTCTTGCTATCCACAGTTATCAAGAGGTACATACCATTTTGTGACCTAGATGTTGCATAGCAAGCACAGCTGAATGGATGTTAACCCTCAAATTGGTTTTAAAAAAAATTCCTTTTGCTTGTACAAACCTATATTCCCAGCACTCTGGGATGCTGAGGCAGGAGGATTCCAAGATTGAGTCCAGCTCAGGCAACTTACCAACTGAGCAAATCAATATTTTAGATATTCATCTTTTTGGAGTGAAAAAGTATTAAAAAATGTTCATTGGGGCTGGGAAATTAACTCAGTGGCAGAGGTCCTGCTCAGCATTTGCAAAGGCCTAGGTTTCATTCCCAGGACTGACCTACTGTTTAACTGCTTTATGAATTCTTTAAAAACTATATTTCATATATTGCTTATTTTGCTAGTCTTTTCCTACTTTCATTTTGGTGACCATCAATAATTATAATGATTTCAATGCGATCATTTTTTATTCCTGCCTATCCTATCTGTTTGCTGTTTTATAAAGCCAAAATACTGCAGTTAAATCAATCAGTTTTATGAATCATTTCCAAGGGTTAAGGCTTGTGCTCCCAAAGGAAATGGAGTAGGACAGCCTAGAAACCTTATATACAGGGCAGGTTAGGTTTGGCCTGGAAGAACCTGTATGGTACTGGGGTAAGTGGGGGCCAAGGGAAACCACCAGGGCACTGGGGCAGATGGCAACCTCAGGAATCTTGATCCTTGGTGATAGAGATGCTTGTGGAGCCCACTGTAGACCAGCAGCTGGCAGGAACTCTATCGTACAATGTTCTCAGTACTGATAGTCAACTTCTAGTGCTCAACACTAGATAAAAGGCATTATAATAATTGCATCCTTTTTAAAAAAATTACAATTTAAGACTGTGGATGTATAAATATGAACTTAAGGCAAGTGCAGTAGCACAGGACTTTCCCAAACTTTGAAACATCCCATTGCCTAAATTCACCTGGAAAAAGGGTATGGAAGTTGCTCTATCATGTAAGCAGAATTATGAATATAAAATGTTTTGAAAATGCCATTCATATTTACATGTCCCCAAGAAAACTAGAAATCACTATTTTCATACAACTAGCTCCTTTTTCTTAAAGCACCTACAAAAAATACTTGTTGCACTGTGTAAGTTCAACAAATATTTAAAAAAAGAAATAAATTATTTGCACATATTATTATTAGTACTCTCCATGACTAGGAGACATCTGAAGAGAGGTTAAAAACTAGTGATAGTCTCTCACAATAGAAGAAAAATGGCAATAAAATCTGCAGAATGTTCAATGAATTTAAGGAACTATGTTTTACTTTATACAGATTAAAACGTCTAGCTTAAACATGGGCCTTTGAAAATCATTTCATAATATAGAAATAATTAGATATAATTTTCAGAGTTAATCATGTTATTGATGGATGCATATGAGCAAGTCCTTTACAGCTCTCCTGGTTAGATAAATCATATTCATCAAGCTCCATGAAAACATGGGTTAAGCAAGGAACTCAAATGCTTTGCCTTTACCCTTCTCTGTTACATCACTATTTCATGCTATAAATAAAAAGAATTATGTTCTTAAGTTTATAAACTCTTAGGGATAAACCTGAGGCTTAAAATACAATAGTTACCTGAACATAGGAATCCCTGCCACAGTGTAAATGTCATTTAAATGTACAAAGATCTGAAAGAACAAAGAAAGTTAGGGTGGAACAAGAAACTGCATTACCAAATTATTGACCAATTAAACTATTTTTTTTCAATTAAACCCTATATTTTAATAAGAAATTCTAGGGCCTGTCTGTCATATGTGGAAAAATGTTCCATATCTGTTTTCTTACAAAGAGGCAAATTAAATTTTACATATATTTCATAGAAAAATTCTGAGGTCAATTTCTCATATAAGTTATATGGAGAATCATGTTGCAAAGAACACGAGATCTTTCTTCTTTAGAGATTCTTTTCAATTATCACATCTGGATCAGGCTTCTCAGTATTTTTGGTCTGAGAAGGCTTCCTGAATCCCCCCAACTTTAACCCCAAGTAATACTGAAGGTCACAGAGGACTATCATAGGCTATAAATACCTTCATGGTAACAGAAAACGTTTTTAAGGTCAAATGTATGGTAGCAAGCATATCCTCTTCTCTCTCAATTATCTCTGGGTAAATTTCTGCCTCTATTTCCTTTCTACTCTTAGGCCATGCAGAGAATGTATATGCCTCAAGTTATCATTAGGAGCTCATGTGAATTTTAAAAGGTAGAATCTTTCTTACATTTGTAGTATTTTAAGGCTTAGAGAATATTCTAACTGACATTTTGAACCTTAACATTTGATCTCCAATACTTTATCCCAAAGGTTTTGTTTTGTTTTATTTGTGGCACTGGGGACCGAATGTAAGGCCTCACAGATGCTAGGCAAGCACTCTACCACTGAGATATACCTCCAGACTCCCAAGATTATTTTTAATATAAACAGTTTAATTACAATATTCTAAAACTGATGCATTTTCATCAAAAATTATCTGAAGTGACTCCATTTAGACATTTAATTCTTTGATTAGACATCACAGCTGAAGTTTCCAGTTTTATATACTATGCATTTTAGTAAAGTATTCATTAAAATTATTTTCTATTTATAATTTATACTGAAGATATGATACATTGATCTTGCTTTTACATATTAAATGCTAAGAACAGCTTCTCCCAATATAATTTTTTTCCTATTAATTTTGCAGAACAAAATTTGTTAAGATCTGATTCTATCAATTTTTAGTGACACATTTTAGTATATGTAATGTTATTAGTTTTGTTTTATATGATTTTTTCTACCAATTATAGCTATTGTTAATTGCATTAAATGGCTGGTAGGAATTAAATTTGCTGTTTTCATGAGCTAATCTATGAGAAAACTGTAGCCATAACCATGAGATGGAAGATGAAGGAGGATAGCAGGAGAGAAGCAAAGAGTTCTGGAAAGGTGATGAGAGAAACTCTAACATCAAAAACATTCAGGGGTCAAAATATTTTACATGAAAAATTGCATATGTACCAGGTATTACTTTTTAAAAAGGAAAAATAAAAAAATAAAATAACACAGTATTCTGATTTATTTGGTTCATCAACAGATACTCCGTGTAAATACTCCATGTAAATCTATATGACAAAGAACAAATTATGAATTAGTGGAATCATAAAAATGACTCGTTATCAGCTTTATAAGACAGCTTTCAAAATAAAGTGAAAAATATTTTTTGTTTCCCTGGGTATTTTCTCATTACCATGAAAAGATAAACATAATCCTCTAACCTTAAGAAAGCCACTATTAACAATGCCAATTGAATTCTATGCCAGGACATTTTTGTCATTCATTTTCTTTAAATAATAGCCAGGAATTCTTATTAAAGAAACTTATTAAGTGGTACAGAGATTGTAGGGTGCATCTATGAAACCTACCTCACAATAAATGCTTTTTTTTTCTTCAACTTTGACCAAATGACTCCATTCCAAGTTGTGTGTGTGCATGTGTATGCTTAGATAAAATAACACATTTTCACAGTGAAAATTACTAGCAAAATTATCTGCAGTTCTACTTTTAAAAAGGAAATAGCCTAATCCATGTGACATGCCTTTTAAAACTCTACAGTAAAGTTGAAAAGTACAATAAAATTAGGTGACGCTGTCTTTAAAGCATCAAGCTACATCTATACAAATTAAAACAAATATTCATTACCTCTAAATTTGGATTCCTCAAATCTGCTTTCCATCCAAACTGCTTCATAAGAGCAATCCCAATTATTCTTCCTACTTCCTAGAAAGTACCAGGTTATAGAAAAGAATATACTAAAAATGAAAAGTTTAAACGTAAGCAAAAACTAATGGCTTTATAGAAAAATTGAGTCAAATTATCTGATGGTAATTTAGCATTACAATATTAAAATATTACTCTAAGCCATTTTATGTTCAAAGCAGTAAGATTTAATTGACCTCCTTCACCCCCCAGTTTTACCCCTTGGTAATGATGTCTAATCATGTGTAATCTCTACTGCAATTCTAGGTATATGAATCTAGGTATTAGGTCAGACCCATAATCTGATAAATATAGTCACTCTAAATTGGAGGAAATGAATACAAGCAGAAATATGAACCATTTAGCTATTACCATCCTCTATGCTTAAAAATCTCCAGATCAGAATAGTTAGACTCTACCTTTAGGGTACACCTTACTAACCTTAGAAGGTTGTCTGCAGGACCCAGACTGGCCCTGTACAATACTGAATGCTCCAAGAGCCAACCAAAAAGGCTCTTTGATAGCAACTATGACGTCTCCCCATCCCTAGTATGTTGGGACCTCATGTGTATTTATGGTCTTAGTCCCAGTTTCAACTTTACATACAGGACCTGGTGCAGAGCAACCACTCTTACCAAGCACAGGAAGAACTCCCCAAAAGTTTAGGAACATGAAATCAGGATTTTCAAATGCAAAGGACATCTATGAATTTAAGGAAACTTTGAGAAGAAGGTAAAAGGCAGGTATTACATGGAATGGAGTACCTTCCTCTTAACCACTTGAGGCTAAGTTAAGGAAGATGCATGTTTGAAAGAAATATAACCATAAGAGATTAGGCCTAATTATTTGTCTGGGCCTGGTTGTTAGTTCTGTGGGAGGTTTGCATCCATCTCATTTTAAACCCTAAGAGTGACTAATTCTTTTAGAAAACCAGAGGCCACTTTGGGAGGCAGGCATACCTGTGAAGTAAAGACCTTTCCAATGGTTCCAGTGCAGCGACAAGAAACCCTGAAGGTTAAGTCTTCCTGGCTATGAGCACCAGCTGCTTTCTCTACCTCCTTCTGAATTTCTTCTTTTTCAAGTTTATCTCTTCTAGTGGTAGAATCTCTTTGCTCCAGTGTATCTTCTGTTTGTTCTTCCAGCTGGCATTCCCTATGATTCTCTTCAATCTTTTGGATTTCTTCTGTTTTTAATTTCTTAGCAATGATGGTTTCATTTTCTCTCATTTTTCTTTTTGGTGGTTTAGCATCCCTCTGAGAAAGTTCTTCTCTTACACCAAGTTTAAGAAGATTCTTCCAAGTTGAAATGGCATCCAACCAACTTCTAGGATCATTGTTTACAAGTTGTTGTACTTCATTAAGTATTTTTCCTAAATAAATAAAATCTGTTTATCCTATCTTGAAGCTTTAAAGATGATCTATTATATTCTCTGTCTCAAACTGCCATTATCTTTTTTTTTTAAAACATAAATTCTGTTGAACTTCTACATAAATAAAACTTCACATTCATTTGGGAATTTGTATAATTTATTATAAGAATACTGTATAGAATAAAGTTCATTCCTTTATATACAGCATTAAAATTGTATTGAAATTCAATTACCTGCTAATACTTGAACAAACCACTTATCTTACGATAATATATATCTCTCATCAACATATGCATAGACCTAGAGTGTATATTGATTTTTAAAATAATGGTGATCTTGTTTATAAAAATTAAGGTTAAAAAAAGAATTAATTACAAAACACAGCTCAGAAACACAGCAGCTGAATCCTGGGCCTATTTCATTTTAGACCATATAATATTAGCATAAATCTTAAAATAAGACACAATAGAGTAAAACTTCCAAAAATAATTCATTCATGACTTAGGGACTACCAGCATGCTCAGTAAAATTCAATCTTTTCTTGATGATGAAGGGTCATCAAAATGATCTAAAAGTTATTACTGTAGCTTCCTAAAGATGAGGTGTATGAAATATTGGGCTGAAATTATAATTGACCTCACTGTATAATACCTTGGGGTTTAGTTTAATTTTTCCTGCTGGTCTTGATTTCTTGTCATTTGTACCCTTCTTGAAATAGTTTATTATAGGCTATACAATGACGCGATCTCTTGTGCACACTGGCACTGGCAACTGGACTGAAGTTTAAGGCAGTTGTTAATCCTGCAGTGCCCAACCCTTTTTTGGACATTAATCAAGATCCTTAAATTATTTTCACAGCCTATTTACAAAGTGAGGGTATGGGTAAGAATCTTAGGTCCCTTTTTACAAATGAATATAAGTTTACTGAAAACATTTTAAGTTCTTAGAATTAGGAAATTTTACCATGCAATATTTTCCAATTATATCACTCAGTTAAACTTTATGAGGTGATAGTTTTTACCAATTTATTGTTAAAATAATGCATTTCGAGTTATTACATACTTCTAAATACAAATAAATGCAACTGACTGCATTTACCTCTAAGATGCTATCAGATCATAATTCACAAAGATGGCCTGGCACACTAAACTTTCGGAAGGCAGGCAGCAGGTCACAAAGAAGAGATAGATTCTAATACAATTACACGGTAATAGGAAATACAGAAAGATACATAACTGATGATGCCACATGTATGAATGAATCATAAAAATGTAAAATGTAATTATTATTTTCCAGAAAACTCAGAATACAACAAATCACGTGGTTATAAAGCAACAGAAATATACCGTACCTTTACTTGAAGAAGCAGTAAATGGAAACAGCTTTTTAATCAGCAAAAATAATCTTTCAGCAGATTTTAATTTCTTCAGCATATTCAAATCAGAACAGGTAGTGAAAAAAACCTTTCCTGAAACATATTCAACCTAGAGACAGACAGATAGTAAAGTAAACCAGTGTCAGAATAAGAACCATTTTCGTACCCCTTAATAGATTAAGGCATATTCTCTAGATCAATGATGATGAATCTTTTAGAGCTTTCAATGATACAAACAGCCTGCTGCAGCACGTGTGCCATAGATTTGTCACTACTGCTTTAGACTAACAATAAAAAATGATCACTTCTGTCTGAAGCATCTATATTTGTTAGGGACCTACACTAGGTACTCCAAATATATGCTCCCCCTATCCTTATTTGCAAGCCATGAAGGATTTCATTATGGCCATTTTACATATCAGGAAACTGAAGTTTAGGTTAGTTTAATCTGTATAAGGTTACATAGGGACCAAGATCATAGTTTCTCTGTGTCTACCTCTTATAAAGTACACATATATATACTGGTAGAAAAATGGAACACAAAATACTCAGAACTTATGTTACCAAACCTCAAGCACAATTTAAAAGTGGGCAAAAGAAAAAGTATAATGCATAGGACAAATTAGGTACCTAGCCCAAGGTAGATATGTATTAACCATCTGCCAGTGGTCTACCAGGAGGTGTATAGCATATATCTTGAATATAATGCAACAGAATATACTGACATAGAAATTAAAATATAAAATTTATAAGACAATATCCTGAATCCCAGAAAAAAACCCCAGAGTTTTAATTTTAGAATGCACCGAGGTTATAAGTACTATAAATCTGGAAGCTACTGAACATGAAGCCAACATTACTAAAATCCTGGGGAAGAATCCTGCAGGACTTGGGAAGAGGGATTTGAACAAAAAGAACAAGTTGCAGATGGAGATTCTGGAGAGAAAACCTGGCTGAGGCAACTTCTGATGTATTATGTTGATTGATAGTGTTGGGTGGATGGATGGCATGGCTGAGGTCAGCTTGATATACGGTCATGAAATTTTGAGTATCACAGATGGTAATGGTCAGCCATCATAGAATTCTGATGAAAATGATAACAGAACTGAATTAGCTGGCAGAAAAAATTACTTTGGAAGAGGCATAAAAGACTGAGTATAGAATGTGATGCTGGAGGGAGAAGCAGATTACTAAGGAAGAAATGATGAGACACTTGGCTGTAGGAAATGGATAGAGGCAAGATAAATGTATCAAGCAAACTGGCTTTAAAAACAGGACAAGTATGTAGTAAAGGCAGGGAAGACAGGAAATACAAGGAGCACTGACTCATAGGGAGCCTAATGTGTGTGGCAAATGGTGGTCAATACCAATGGAACCCTAAACCTTTCAGAACCAACCCAGCTTTCTTAAATTCAGGATGGATGTGCTTTGTCTTGAAATTCTCCTTTTAGCAGTAGCCATATGCTGATGGACGTTAAGTTATCTCCTAAGTATCAGGGAATTTGGGATAACCCATAGGCTATGGTTTGGATATGGATTGAGTGCATTCCCCAGGGCTCCTGTGCAGGAAGCCTGGTCTGCAATGTGGTCATCTTGAAAGGTGGTAAAAGCTTTAAAAGGTATGGTCAGTGAGAGGTGACCAGGTCAGGGCCACTCTTGGAAGGGATTATCAGGGAGTGGGCTGGGTCTCATGGAAGATTACTTCCTAGAAAAGCAGGTTTTAGAAGAGCAAATGTGGCTCTTTCCCACTCTCTCATTTTCTCATTCGCATACACACATGCCCCTTCCACTTGTGGTGGGTTCCCTTTCTGCTTCTTGGCCATCTGTGATACAGTCAGGGTGGCCCTTGTCAGGTACTGGAAACATGCTGTTTGAACTGTCCAGCCACCTCAGTAGTGCGCCAGATAAGCCTCTTTTCTTTATATACTACCCAGTGTCAGGCATTCTATTATAGCAAAACAGAACACACGAGACAGTATGTGTTTACATAGTTACAATTTATGGGAACCTGAAGCCTAAAGAGTTTGTTTTGTTTTGATTCTGGCATGGTCTATTTGAACTTTTGAGTTGGTAATTTTTAGGGTTAATACTCTAGGTTGATGAAGGAGAGCTCCCTGCTGAGGAAGGCAGGCCTACGATGACATCACTTAAAACCCAATAACTTAGGTATTAGTAGTGCAGATGACCAAGACAGATGGAGGAACAGATGATGACATTGTGGGGGAAAAATAGGAGTGAGAAGAATGTTTAGAAATCAGTCTTTAAGGGGATGGTGAGTAACCCAAACAAGAACTGTTTTCTAGAATTTCTTTCTTTTTCATTACACAGGTGATATTTTATATACTAAATACATATCTCAAAATGTTCAGTTCTTGAAACAAAGTAACTTTTAAAAAATTCAGATTTTGCTGGAGATTTAGCTCAGTGGTGCCACTGCCTTCCTCACAAACGCAAGGTCCTGAGTTTGATCCCTGGTACCAAAAAAAAAAAAAAAATTCAGATTTTGTTACCTGGCAAAAGAATATAGCTAATATTACAGCCATCACAAAACAATTTAACACTTACAATACCTTGCCAAGATTCTGAAGAAATTGAACTGTTTTATTAAAAATGTATAGTTTTAATATTTAAGACCTAAAAACAAGTATACTGATACAAGCAGATTCTAGGCCAATGATTTTATCTAGTAGTCTGTGATAAAGACATTGATTTATAATTCCTTACTTATATAAAAATTTTACTGTTTTTATTTACATATTAAGAAAAACATTTTATACATTTTCTCTGAAAATATCCTCTTTTTAAAAAGAAATGTTTCTACAAAGAACATGACTATCACTTAAGAAAACCTAATGTATTTTTAATGTTTTAATGTTTAATGTATTTAAGGCTTCAAATTATAAGATGAATCACAAGATGTGTTGATGCCCTAAAATACCCAATACACTCTCAAAACCAAATTTAGCAATGCTATTCTCTTTGAAAATTAACACAAGGCCTACATTCTTTTTAGAAGTAATAAGCACATAATCTGAAGTAGTTTACTAAATTGTAAGATAGTCATTGTGAGAATCACATAATCAGAGATGAACACACATGGATTATTCTTTGTGAAGACTGCACTACATCTGAAAGAAGTAGGGAAATTGAATTTGGGTAATAATGATTTTGTCAATTGCTGAAGCTAGTATTTCCCAATGTTTTCAGTTTATTGCTTATAACTGACCATATTCAGTTACAGTACTTAGGGAGAAATATAGCATTTAAAAATAGTTTATTTTAACATTTGCTCTTGAAAATTTATTTTTTTTTCCATTTGGAATTAGATTATAATAAAGTGTCTAAAACCAGCTGTTTTTATGCCTAACATTTTTTTTTTTGTTTTTTTTTTTTGTGGTGCTGAGGATGGAACTGGGACTTGGGCATGCTAGGCAACTATGCCTAATGTTTCTAAGATGAAATAACAGCTCTATTAGCTGTTAGCATATCTAAGTAGCTAGCATTTTTTCCCTCCTTTAAAATTCATGGACTCAAGTTCCATCCAAAGGTTAAAAGTTTAAATCTAGGCAAAAACATATAGTATCACTAGGAGGTGCCAAAACTCTCCTAGTTCCACAGATGTCATTCAGTTTTAGAACAAAATTTAAAATATCAAGTGATGTGTTAATGTGGTGTTTAAGTTTATTTTGGTTTGTTTTAGAATTTGGTTCAATCAAAAAATAAATTTCATTTGATTTCCCAAAAGGCATTCAATCTAAAGGGAATACAGAGACTCTTGAAAAAGGCAACCTTTTGCAATCATCCCACTAGAGGACAATAACTACCAAATAACCTGACTATCTGCTTAGCTCTAACCCCCTGTCTATTCCTACTGTCATGACACCATTAAAAAACGGAAAATTGTTTGGCCTATTCAGGACTTGGGTTAATGGTCTTTGATATGTGGATTTATAAAGCTCAATGAATCAATTGACAAGATCTTTCTTATATGTTGGCATTAGAGACATCTCTATTACATTCAATGCTACCTTAAATAGAACTATTCCTATTATCATTTGTACAGTAAATACTATTTAATACAACATTATTATAAAGAAAAGCTTAATTTTGTTTTATATAATTTATATTACATAATTTAATATAATTTAAAATATATAACTTAATATGTGATTTTTAATGTAATTTAAAAAATACTCAGGCACCTACAAAGAAGTTTGCCTCAACATTGAGGGGTGGAGAAGATTAAACCTCAATCTGAAGAAGTGCTAGATTCAACCTTCAGAATTCTAAAGTACAGAAAGTACAGAGGATAAAGTGCAATTGCTTGCCCCCCCACCCCCCCCCCCCCCCGCAAAAAAAAATCTGTGTGTTGGAAACTTCACCACCAGGGCAGTGTTGGGAGGTGGGAGCTTTAAGAGGAGGTTAGGTGTTGAGGTCTCTGCCCTCACGAATGGATGGATGAATGCAGTGTTACTGCAGGAGTGGGTTAGTTCTCCTGAGAGTGTGCTTGTTATAAACCGAGTTCAGCTTTCTCTTCTGTGGCCATGTGTGCTCTGGTTTTTCCACCAGGTGATGCCTTCTGCCATGTTACAAGGCAACACAAAGACCCTCAGCAGATTGGGTGTCTCGATCTTGGACTTCCCAGCCTCCAGGACTATAAGAAATACATTTCTTTTCTGTATAAATTACTCGGTCTGTAGTATTCTGCTATAGCAATGCAAAAACGGTGAGCGCATAGGGGAGCATGTCAAACTACACCATGGAATTGCGACTGGTAAATCTACACCTGGGGAAACAGTACTGAGAACTCTCTGCAGTGAGGGAAATGTTCTATATACCCTATGCTGTTCAATACATGTGCAGTTTCTGAGCAACTAAAGTGGAAAAGTGACATCTTATTTGATTTGACTTTAAATTTTAATTTAAATAACCACTGTGGTTAATGGTAACCCTACTGGACATCACGGTCAGAGCAGGAGTCAGAAAACTAGTTCAGGTGAGTGAAGACTAGCTTTTCTATTCTTAAAAAGATGTAAATACAACAACAAAGAAGAGTATGTAACTAGAACCATATGTGATTTGGGAAGCCTAAAATATTTACTATGTGGCCCATTGCAGAAAAACCTTACTGACTCACGGTCTAGACTATAAAACACACAACACAGCTTCTTTAACCCTGATTCAAATACACAAACTTAAAAACAAAAGTGACACTTATGAGACATGTTGCAATGTGAATAATGACTAGGTGTTTGACAAGGAATTATTTTTAGCCGTAATAGTGATAACGTGACTTGCGTTTTTATGAGCCTTTATCTCCTTTATATTATACTATATATTGTGCTATAAAAAAGAGTCCTTATAACTTAGAGATATGTGAGTAAATTTTTACAGATGAATGGTTCCTAGATTTTGCTACATGGGGTGAAGAGCGGCAGGAGGTGTGAATGTGGCAGAATTTTATCATGGGCTGCTATTTGTTACAATTGGTTGATGGGAATGCCAAGTTCACCATACTATTGTTTCTGTACATGTATGAAATTCTCCATGAAAAAAAAGCTAAAAAGAATGCACTGGAAATGCTCTACTGTAAGCTGTGTGCTGGAGGATGTACCCACCTCAGAGTCACCTGGGAAGGGAGCATGTTTTCCTGTTCAAATGCAAACGTCTGTGCTCATCAGCAGCCCTACTGAGAGAAAAGCTTTTGGATCTGACACCCAAGGAAATGCAATTTCAACAAGCTCTCCCAGTGATTCTTACGTTCACTAAAATTGGAAAACCACTGATTAAAATTGAGTGATTACTTCATAAAAGTAAACAATCACTTCTGAACTAATTTGTTTTGTAAATCCAGATTTTTGAATATTAATTTTTTGAATCAAACTAAAGTTTGATTTCTGTGCAACTCATTCAAGAAGAACGAACCTTTATTTAGCACCTGTGTTCACCACACATTGTGCAACCTACGCTGTCTAGCATAATTTTAATGTCCAAAGTCACAACTCTGCTAAAGGAAAATGTCTGATTTGAACATGTCTTTTGATTCTACAGCCCATATGCTCTTCACCAGGGTGTACAGAAATAACCTCCATCCAGTGTTACCGGGCAGTTTCCCACACTACAGTTGGCTCTGTCTTCAGGTTCCACAACTGTGAATGCAACTGATCTCAGAAGGAAAATATTTAGAGAAAACCTGTATGTACTGAACAGGAGAGACTGTTTTGCATCATTACTCCTTAAACAATACAGTATAACAACTATTTACATAACAGTTACATTGTATTAGGTACTATGAGTAACCTAGAGATGATTTAATGTATTTGGGAAGATAGTGTAGGGTATATGGAAATATTACACTATTTTATAAAGGGTACTTTTACGAATTTGGGTACCCGAGGAGGGTCCTGGAATCAATTCCCACTCAGATACCAGGGGACAACAGTATCTTAGCTTAGTAGTAACACTCTTGGCCTTCAAAGCTAAGAAGAGATTCAGATCCAAGTCCTCATCCCACCGCTTGGTGCCAGTTTTTTCTTTTATCTTTGTAAAACAGAGGTCAAAATGACCTACCCATAGCAGGGTTTTGAAGATTAAATCATAACAGGTACACAGTGTCAAATATTTTAAAAACTTAGCAAATGTCATTTGCTATCCTTATTACCTCAGAGCGCTTTAACTTTGAGAGTTCACTTTATGTTTGAGCAGCTGGGATGGAATTTGAGGAGTTATTTGTTCAGATCTCATTTCCAGGTGTATCTATCCCTAAAATACACAAGAACAGAATATGGAAATTCTCTTGACATTTAACTACTTTGCATCGTCAAGAAGTTTTTCCATATTCTTCGTGCTAAAAGTTTCTTGCATCTCTTTATCTTTAGAAAAGATGAGCAAGCAGCTCTAGAGGATCCTTTTGTTAATAATCCAACAAATCAAGCCTTCCACTTTTGTACCAAGCACTCTAACACTTAAAAGCAAACACACACACAGCAGTGTGATACTATGTTTGGTCACATAGTGTGGGTTGAACATGATTATACACTCATATCTGACTTTACAGCTTGGATTTTAATCTCACCTTTGCCATAACTTTAAATAACATTAACATTAGATTTATAAATAACATTATATTTATCTGTGCTTTATTTTCCTTCTTGGTTAAGTGCGGAATACCTAGTTCATAGCACTGTAAAAATTAAGCAAGGAATACAGCGTAAGGATCTAGGAGCATGTGCCTGACACATAAAATACTTGATAAACGCCAGCAATTATTATTATAAGCTGAGACTGTTTGCGATCAGCTAAAAGGCAGGCAGTCTAACACGACTGATGCCATTCTTCATGAGTGTCCCAGACTTACCCTATCCTAATCCCCTCCTCCTTCAACTGCAGAAACTCCTCTGTGCGCTTCCAACAGTAGGAGTTCCCACAGGGATAGTGCGATCAATTTGGTTTACAAGTCGTCCTTTCCCAAAAACATCTTCCACGCGGTCACATATACTCAAGATACCTTCTCTGTTACATCTTTTTCCTCTTCAAGAACCAGCTCAGCCAGCGCTGGCATCTCAAGGGCTTTAAAAACTTGTTCGTTTCGCTGCAGTTAGCAGGCGATACTCACGAGGCTTGCAAGAGTGTATTATTTTCCTAGTTACTGTTACTACAAACTTCCGGTGTACTTTACATATCCTGTATCATTTAAACCACAACAGGTAAAACTAGTCAGGAAACTAACAGTATTCAAGCTACCGAACTTGAAGATTTGAGGGAGGATTCCCACTCTGACAGCTCTCCTATTACGGGCTCTATTTAGTACTTGTTAAAAGAGAATCCAAGAAATAACATCCCTCAACTTGGGCCCCGACGGACCTGGGGGCAGAGAACGGCCCGGGGCTCCTCCCAGGCCTCGGGGACTCGCCTGTCGCGGTCACGCTCCGGGGCGGGGACCTGGCCGGGCGGCTCTGGGATCTGGTACCGGAGCTCGCGTCGCCTGGCGGGCGCTGGCGGGGACAGGGGGACCACAGCCAGGCCGACTCACCTGCGTGGCCGCCAGTCGCACCCGCACCTCGCGCATCAGGAACGGCTCCAGGCCGCGGCCTGCGGTGCAGAAGAAGCGGGCGCCCCCCGCCGGCCCAGACCCTGGCTCTGCGCGCGCCGCCGCCATGGTGCTGGGCGCGGCTCCGCGGCTCCGTCACGTGGGCTCGGGGCGCGCTCCCGCACTCTCCGGGACGCGCGGGGCCGGGCTCCTGGAGCCGAGACCACCAGTCAGCAGCAGCGGCCCCTGCGGGTCTCTCGGTGAACTACACCGAGTCTTTTCCATGAGCAAGGCATCGTGGTGACAGGAACATTTCAAAAGCCCAGTCCTAAACTTCTCCCGAGACCTTCCATTTTGGAAAATTCTTTCATTTTTTCTTCCACATTGTTTTCTTTATCTGTTGCCATAGCTCTTTCCACCTTCCCTGTGCTTTTGGGTTGATTCTCAGGTCTATGTGGGGAGCTGAGGAGTAGATGGTGGTAAAGGCAGAGGCCCGGGTATATCCTCGCTGTCCACTCCGCAGCAAGAAGGGCTCTGCACCTCGCTTCCGGACGGATGCAGAGCTGGGCAGGGGCTGCAGTCTTGTGCAGCCTGCCTCCCCTTACCTTCCCCTCTTTCCCCTTCTCAGGTCCTTCTCCCTCCGGGAGTCTGGGTCAGCAAGGTCAGGGCTACTGTTGCTCCAGCCCTGCAGTCTTGGGCATTTGTTCACTTTTGGGCCCGGCTACAGTGGATCACATCCACCGACGCCCTTCACAAAATCCTTGTGACGATTTGGGACAGGAGGGGTTCTACCTCTTTAGGGAGAAAATAATTGGTTTTCTGGGAGAGAGTTACTTAGACCCCCCCCCCCCATTACTCATATTCTTTCCTGTATCATTTCTTCTGATTATTAAAAAAAAAAAAGAGCCTCTACTGAAAAAGAACCACGGATCCCTGTAGATGAATTTAGCACATCCAGCTGTGATTTCCTGTTTGAATGTTACATATTTAACAAGCAGGAAATTGGAAGTCAACAGGAACGATTGATTGTAGAACAGATAGACTTTTTTTTTTTTGGTACCAGGGATCGAACTCAGGACCTTGCACTTGTGAGGCAGGCGCGGTGCCACTGAGCTAACCCAGCCCGAACGGATACTTTTAAGTGGGAATGTTTTAGGAATATAGGGCAAGACACTTGCTTCGAAATGTCTCCCTATTTTGATGCCATTGACAGTTCCTTTAGTTCTTAAAAACACAGCACTTAGCTACTTAGTATTAGAGTACAGGTGCTTCAGGTTGTGAGAACCTTGAGGAGGGGTAGCGCCATTCATCCTGGCATCTGTAGTGACACGGGCTTCCACCCCAAAGGCTTAGTCTCTGTATTCAGAATTGGGTAGACCATAATCAAAAGAAGACGGACACATGAGGTCTCAGCTAAGAGGATTTAGCTATAACCATCATATCAGCAGGGGCCTTTATGAACAGAATGTGGGAACAAAGATAAGTGAGGCCAATCAAGTAGAAAAGTAGGCTATTAAAGGATAGGAGGACCCCAAACATAACCTCCTTCACGACTCTTCTTACTTCTCCTCTTCCTCATCATCTCCTCTGTCCTCCTCATACACTTGACAAATAACATTTCTTACCCAGGAATATTCCTCAGAATTACCGGGTGTCATGTTGCCACTCCCTCTCCTGTATGCTGGAACAGTTGAGTAGGGTTGGTGACAAGCACTGGCCAAGGAGATTAAGACCCATTGCTAAATACCAACCAATGTCCGCTGCCAAGTTCTTCAAAATACCCACTATTTTCCTTCTCCTAGGCCCGAACATTGTCACCTTGGCCTGGAGCACTTGTCTCTTCCGTTTGTTTTTTCTTTAAGGCTAAGCTAGAATGACACCCCTAGAACGAACACCTGTGATATTCTTTCCTGCTTCTCTTGTATACTTTTCCTTTTATAATATTTTATACCTTTGGCATTTATCCATCTGTATATATTACTGAAGACATAGCAGTGTGTCAGCTCATTTGACAAGGGCCCAGCCTTGGAGGTAATGGGAGGTAATGGTGATGAGGCTGGACAGCTGAGAGAGACAGATAAAGGGTATGGATACAATATGATGTGTGGTAACTAAGGAAAGCACTTGGGCCCTGCACACAGTGGCCGCTTAATAAAGGACATTGAATAAATGAACTTGCTCTGAAGTTCAGTGAGCCTTTGTCTCTTTCCCCTTTGATCTTTGCCAGGGTATTGTCTGTCCTATGAGGCCCAGCTTGTCAAAGTAGCCAGAACATAATCATGTAATCTAGGTTTTACCTGTGAGGCTCACATGACTTAGATATTAGTGCCTTGGGGCAAGACTCTTCCTGGAACTCATTTTGTTTCCTGGGGGTACTGGAGGAATGTCTTGTCTTCAGGGCCAGCCTCGATGGCTGAAGGTCAAAGTAATGCTGCTAAGAAGGTGGCAGGGGCATCAGTTTCTAAAAGCATAGCCTCTAGGTTATTTTTACCCAGGTTTGGGGTAACTAACTAACTTAAAACTAACTAACTTACTCTGCTTCTCTCTCTGAGATTTATGTTAGCCTACATCTCCTCCCCATGCATTTCTAAGCACTGTGTAGGTATGGTGAACTCCTGCCCACACAAGCTCACAGTGACTTGTAAGCAGCACTTTTTGTTGTTGCTATTGGAATTCAATTGCACTGTGACATTGTGGTAAAACCCTAGATACAGACAAACAAATCTGTCACACAGTACATTCCTACTAAGTAGAGCAAAAGAGCATCTGCATATCTTTATAACTGCAACTGCAAACCATTGGGAAAAAAACTTGTCATATACTGATCATTAAAACCATTTATATGCACACAGTAGTCACCTAGAGTGAAGCTTCTTTGAACATACAGTCAGAAAAGAGAACATGCAGCAGAAAATTGTTGATTAGTATATGTCAATACTATCTTTAAAATGTTACTAGCTGATTAGTGTTTATATCACTCTAGGTGTAATGTAGCATCAAAATTCTAAAGGTGTAATCTTTATGCACTGATCTAGAGAGGCAGGTCTTTTTATGGGTTATCTTGGCTTTATGTATGCAGTGTGTAGAATTATTTTGATGTACAAATACAGTCAAGTATTCCCAGCACCTTTTATGAAGACTGTGCCATATATTTAATGCATATTTCAGAACACTAGGCTATTTGATGTGATTTTATTTGTTAAACTATATTTTGAACCTATAAAATTGTATCTGTATCTGAGAAACCCTTATAATGCCCCAGTTGGAAGAGAGTGGAAATTGTTTCTTTGATACATTTGTTGAGTGATCTAATGACTGAATCTGCAATATTCTTCAGTTTACTTGAATGAACTATATTGCCTAAATAAAATAAGTTATTTTCTTCTAACAGTTATCTGTACCTCAGACTCCTGCTGCATTTGTCATTACATTCGTATGAATTATTTTCCTTTAGGGGTTCCCTTCCTCCCTTTTTCCATCCCTCCCTCCCTCTTTCTGTTTTTTCCTCTCCCTCTCCCTCTTTCTCCCCTTCCCTTCTCTTCTCTCATTTCTTTTTCCTTTCTGAAATGGGTCTTGCTATATTGCCCAAGCTGGCCTTGAACTCCTAGGCTCAAGCAGTTCTCTTTCCTCAGCCTCCTGAGTCGCTGGGAGTACAGGTGAATGCCATTACTCCAGGCTCTTTTTCTATTTTTTTGATGAAAGAAAGCCCCAGAAATGCCCCAGTCCAGCAGGGACACCCATATTTTGATATTTTCCTCTTTCGTTTTCCTGTACATTTTATTCATTTCTAGTAGATGGTCATTTGTTTTGCATATTTTTCAACTTTAAAAAACATCACCTTAGACTCAAGCACGTGTGACCTACAAATAAAAACAATCAAGGGATAGATTTTATTAAATGAAAAAAATTGAGTATCCTATTTTATGAAGTGGTGTTTCGTAGACTACAGTTTGAGCTGTGCATTAGAACATTGACTTAATTCAGTCAACTTTTCTCCCATTGAGCTTTGACAAAGAGACAAACAAGTTATGTATTTATTCATCTCTTCCTATTATTTTTTGTTGAAAGGTGATAATCCCTTGCTGTCCACAGACATTATGGGCTGCTTTTTTTTTTTTAAATCAATTTTAGCATTATTGAATAGTTTTCTCTGACATATATTTATATATAATCAGGTTTCTAACAATTTTCTTTTTAAAAGTCTGAAATCTAGCAATTAAAGATTGAGCATATTTATAATCAATAGTATAGCTGTTTACAATAAGTATGAGTTACTTGGCTAACCAGAAAAACAAGTTAGATGCACCATAAAAGCCCACAGCCTGCCACACAGGTCCAGGCACTCATTTGATTCCTTTATAAAATATCTTCACAATAGAACATAGTACCTCAAATTGAACCATACCAGTTGAGCTTTTAGACCACAGACAGATAATATTTCCACCTTCAATTACTGTTTGCGGTTCTGCTGACTTACCCTATTACTCTAATCAACTTAAGTGATGATCTGAATCCTCTGCCTCATATGCTTCAAGATCTAAATGTAGCTAGGTTGAGGAAAATAATATTAAAAGCCACCCCTGGACTTTAAGTACAAAATTGTCTTTCCTTAAGAAAATTCCTTGGTGGAATTCAGTGAGGCTCTAAGGTCGTGCATCAAAGAAATGTAGATAATCAAACTGTTCTGCATAAGGAGCCAAAAAGAGGTCATGAGCACCGGAAGGGGAAGAGCAGAGGAGGGAACGTGTGGTGATCCTTTGTGCAAAGCCGAGGCCAGTAAGGATAAAGTGCAGCAGAAGATTCCCCATGGTCTGGTAGCTGATGAACTTCTAAGAAGAAAGAAATTCGATACTCAAATTTAGGGGTTGATACATTAGCTACAGATTTGCTACAGACTGAACATACTTACACTTAAATTTGAATTTATCAGCTACTTTGGAATGATTTCTATGGATTGAAACTGATTGGGCAAAGTATATGCAAAATCTACATTT